GATACTTGGATTGTTTGTACCTTTTGACTATTGCAATAATGTGGTTATGCCCATTGATATATAATATGTACTATATATTACATATGAATGAGCACAGAATAGTACATATAATGTACACTTTATAAATAATAATGTATAAGTTATAATCAATTATATGCAATTATAGTATAGTATAATTACTATAATATGAAGTTTTCATAATTACAATATAATTCATAAAATATTATATACAGTTAAGTCCTGCATCCAATTATTTTAAATATATATGATGAAGCAGTTGCTATAACTGTTGTTATGGTAACTGTTAGTTCAAGTTTTTGAGGAAGCATGCTGTTTTTCTCAGTAGCTCTGCCATTTTCAACAAAGCGCATAGTTCTAGTTTCTCCATGCTTTTTACAATGTTTTATCTTTTCTTTCTTTAAAAAAATCACACCCATCACAATAGGTATGGAATGATATCCACTGATTTCCTGCACCCAGGATTTCCTGTTGCAAAGAATGATGGGTGATACACTACCAGGAACTCTACTTTGCATGTAGACTGTTAAATAACTCATCTATTTTACACAGCTAGTCATTGGCACAAATACTCTTTTTTTCCCCACAATCTTATACTCAGTCTTCTGGAGTTTTCTAAACTATTAGTTACTTCCCATGTGTTTGACAAATGTCAAACTGCTTTGTTTTCCTCCTCCAGTAGCCCACGGAAATCATTTGATCACTTTCAGAAGGCATTTTGGTCCACTCTGGTCTTGTTAGCATCAGCCTGGGCTGGGCTTCCCTCCTCCACCTTTGATGTGGGCCTTCGTTAAGTGAAGGGAGGAGTTCCCACACAGGGATGGGGCCATCTTGCTCAGAGCCAGCTTGTCTCAGGGATGCCATTCTTTATCCCACAGGCTCCTCTAACTCTATCACAGACACTGCTCTTTAGTGTACTTCTGCAGTTTACTATGGTTTTGTGGACAATTTTTTTGGTTGTGGTTCATTTTTTTTATTGTGCATCCTCCTTTGACCCCTTAATCCCTAAAATTGCTGATCCTATATGTCCTAGTGAATCTAATTAGACCCAGATGCTTTCCCAAAGGTGACTTGACTCAAGTGTTAGGAACTTGAGTGCATACAGCAGGGCACACACATTGTAAGTTAGGTGAATGACCCTCAACACCATGAAACTGGGAAATCTTAAACATTTCTGAAATGACTTCAGAAGACCAGAAAACATTGTTTGGTACCTGCTGGCTTAGAAGGTAGCCAGCCATGTAAGAATGAAGTCTTTATAGTTGTGGCCATGAAAAGTTTTTTCAAGGATAATACCACTTCACAGTTAAGTAAATACACCACATTTTGGTACCTGTGGATTTGCTCTATGTGTCTTCTTACTTTCGGTTAGGCTTGAAATTATTCCATAAGAAAGGTTTTCAAAAGGCACAGGATTTGTTTTATGGGAGTTCTGGGTCTGAATTTAATTTGGGTGGATTCCAAATTTTATAATATTTCTCAAGAATAATATTTGTAGTTCTCCAAACTACTATTACACAGATATAGAAAATGTCTGTGTGTCATCCAGCAACTTAATTTCTGAGTATAAACTCAAAAGAAAATAGAGACTCAATTAGGTGATTTATGTTCTTAATATCATTATTCTCAATAGCCAGAAAGTAGAAGAGCCTAAGTATTTACTAAAGCACAATACAATGTCTCCATGCCATGAAAATATTATACAGCTTACAAAAGATAAGAAATTATGACACATTTTACACGAATAAAGCTTGAAGATTTTCCTAAGTGAGATAAACTAATTATAGAAAGACATGAGTGTGCTGCTTCATATCTGTAATCCAAGCTACTTAGAGGAGAAGATCCAGAGGACTGAGGTCTGAGGCCAGCCTGGGAAAAAAGTTAGTGAAACCCCATCTCAATCTATAAGCCAGGCAGTGATGGTACATGCCTGTGATCCAGCTATATGGCAAGGTGGGATCAGGTGGATTGAGGCTCCAAGCCAGCGTAGGCAATAAAGTTCATGAGCCCCCTATCTCAACAGAAAAAGCTGGGCATGGTGGTATGTGCACATCACCTTAACTATGGCATGAAGTACAAAAGGAGGATGGATGTCCAGGACAACCTGGGGGCAAATCAATACCCAATCTCAAACACAATCACAGTCAAAAGGACTTGAAGAGTGACTCAAATGGTAGAGCATCTGCTTTGCAAGTGTGAACCCCTGAATTCAGACCCCAGAACTGCCAAAAACATGAAAAGGGTATAAATAATAAGTTTTGTATTGTATATATTTGCTTACCCTTAAAAGAAGAGAATTAGATTTTTTAAAAAAGAACAAAAATAAGAAAGTAACCTCAAACCTATTAAGAGTCTGAGGTTCACTGAAGCAAACTCTCGAGGTCTATTTATATTCTATAGAAATTTGTGTTATTGCTTGCAAATGTTCTATTGCCATCTTAGGGAAGGAATTTCTTGTGAGGATTTAAGGGATGTGTGCTGGGGTTGCATGGGGACACGCTTTATGCCTCTGTCACCTTGAGGGAGATATTTGGCTGTAACAACTGGTGCTGGGGATCCTCCTTTGAGTGTGGGCTGGGTCTGAACAGGAGGACAGAGAGGAGGCCCAAAGCCCCAGGTGCCTCTCATGGGTGACAGAGAGCATTCTGTGTTCAGCATTGCATAGAATCTGAACGCCCACATCAGCTGCACTCATGGCTCAGACACTTGTGGGACTTTGTCTTTCAAATGCCTGAAGACAAAAGACATCGTTTCCCTCTGCAGGAAGATTCATCTAGTAGAAGCTAAGCCTCAGTTCTTGGAAGCTGGAAGCCCATTTTGCCCCTTTTTTTATCTCACTCTTCTCCTTGTCTTGGCCAGTTCTGTCTGTAGGTAGTGATTAGGCAGGGGAGGTCATAAATGCTTAGGGAACTCACAGACAGGCTAGCTGGACAGTGGATAACTGAGCTTGCAAAGTCAGCCTTATTTCAAAAAGTAGAACTCCTGCTTCATGGTACTGCAGGAGTTCAGCTCTGATCCAGATGAGATGAGGTCTACTTAATTTGTCTTCTTGGATTTATTCGTCAACATCACTCCCTGGTGTCACTGTGGTTCTTCGTGCATGTGTGGAGATGCTCTCTGATCACAAGTTTTTTGTTTCCAGCCCTCTGTCTCTCTGAGCCCTCTCTCTTCTAGTACTTATCAAAAGCTCCCTCTGACTCTCCCAACCTCTCCCTGCTCCCAGAGCCCTGTTGTCACTTTGCTCACCTGAAGTCAGCAAAGAGACTGAAGCAGAGCTCAGTTCTCTCATATAAGCTACCTCTCCATCTGACGTTCATCACACCGTCAAGTATTGCAGCTCCAGCTGCAAAGTTCCAAAGAGCATAGACATCTTATCTGGCCAGGTGGAGGGCCAGTCAGAATGGACAAGGACAGTCAGTATGGCTACCTAATCGATGGCCCATGTTAGGACAGGAAGACAGAACTGATCCAAAGAAATAAGGATGCCTTTGGCATAGGAGGAAAGGTGGCTGGAGATATCACCAAAGTCCTGAGTGAGAGTTTGTCTAGTCTATGTTGTCTCATCGAATAGACTAGTGGGTCAAAGATACATGTTCATCTTAGGTCAGTTTTAAGAACTATGAGCATTATAAAAATTCTCCTACAAAACAAATCACAACTCACATGCCAGTTCTAAGTGGAGACAAGTCTTTTAAAGTGTGTCCACAGTATCTGGAGGGTTATAGACTATAAAGCTAATTATCCTTAAACACTATAAAAATATTTTTCAGCAAGTTCCAAGGACTGTAGATTCTGGATCTCCGATAATAATTTTATTTGCATTTTAAAAATAACATGAAGCTGCTTCTTCGACACACTCAGGAACTCAGGATGGAGCAGATTAATGCATGGATTTTGAGTCTTAGTTCCTTTGGTTCTCTAACAGAACAGTTCTTGGTAAAATGAGCCTTGAGCATTATTAATTCTATGAACGTGTTTGCTGAAAAGCTGCCATTTTGGTCGGGCTTGGTTAAACAGCTCTAAGTGCTGCAGAGATAAATCTGTAAATAAGTCCCTTCGCATGCGTGCGTGAGAAGATGTCAGGAAAAGATAGTGTGTCTGCCCTGGAAGACTGTGGTTTAATTTGTTGGAGGATAGTCTGAAGGGGGTGAGATGGGGAGGGATAGGAGTAGAAGAAGATAGGGAAAGGGGGCGAAGTAGGGGGGAGAAACAACTGGAGAGCAGACAGAGAGACAGAGGTTGACTCAGCTTCTTAATACTATTTGTCTATGCCTTTGTGCCCAATGCCATCACTAAGTTCAGACAAGAGACTTAGTATTATAGTAACATTCTCTCTAGTGGATCCTCTGCCTCTAATCTTGACTCCCTTAAGATCCTTGCACGGCCCCTGGGAAGAGCTCTGCAGTGCAAAGGGATGATGAAGTGGAGCCTCTGCCTCCAGTTCTTGTCTTTGGCTACGGCCCTGCTGCCAGCATGTACAGCTGCTGACCTTGCTGAGGAACATGGCAGATATCACGGAGTGGCGAGTCAGATGTGGGGTGACCTTTGATTGTCTTGTCACCTTGGCTTGCCATGGGTTCCCTCTCTTTCTGACATTGTGCTCATGGCTGGACAGGGTGAGGTTCTACCCTCTAGGGAAGAAAGTTGAAGAGGGAATGTCATTGGCCATCGCTCCTATTTGCTTCTTCCTGGCTCGCCTAAAGTTCTTTAAGATACGTGTTCTGCATCATCATTGACAGCTGAAATTGCCTAGTTACTCATAGTTATAACTAAAAGGAAAGCATGTTTCTTGCTGCAAGGGTAGTTAGGTGCGCTGTTTGGAACATAGTGAATGGTCAAATTATTGTCCATGGGTTTGTAGACAACTTTCTCATCATGGTTTCCTTAACAGTGTTTGCTATGTGGAAATGCATGCTGCTACATGCACACAGGGCAGAAGAGCAGTCTTCCTGCAGGTGAAGGGGTTCCCTCCCTCTCCACGCCCCCTCCTTTCACATCACAGAGCACTTCTGCTCTGCAGACTGCTTAATTTCAGTGAAGGTGGCCTGGGCCTTTTCTTTGATGGTATCCAAGTCCATGTTCTGAAGATTCTGTAGCTGCCCAAGAATAGAATCCTTATCTTCTTCCTCTTCTTGATCTTCGTCTACCATTTTCCGGAGATCTTCTGGCAAATCTACGTCATCTCCAGCCAACTGGATTTGAGTCTCATCCATTTCACTCTAAGTCAAAATTAAACAGAGAGAGAGAGAGAGAGAGAGAGAGAGAGAGAGAGAGAAAGAAAAAGAAAATACTGGAACCGTGATCAACTTATGTAAAATAGAAAAGCAGCAGGAAAACCCACAGTCTACCAAAGTGAAAGCAGTGAAAGTCAGGTTAGGCTGCTTAAAGCAGAGTCTGGTCTTGGTGGGAAAGACCAGAGCTCTGGGTTAGGCTACACGTTGGGCTGACAAGCACCTTCTAGCCTGGAGAGCTATCTAGCTGTGCTTCCCAGTCAAGCATCATTAACACTGGGTAGGAGCCTGCTAGAAATTGGAATTTTCTGGCTGTACTCTGGATATACTGGAGGAGAAACTCCAGCGATGGGGCCCAGCGATCTGGATATTAAGAAATCCTGTCTGTTATGTACATGCACCTGGAAGCTGGAAAAATCGCTCCCATTCCAACTTCCAACAGGAAAGTACTGGAAAGTACTAGAAGTTTTGCTGAGCCTGGGAGGGGGGTGGTAGTGGTGTCCCATGTCTTGATCCATGAATTGGCAGTGACAGAGTTGGTCATTACACTCATCAGATATTAGCAGCAACTTCTGCCAAAAACCCTTGCTTTTTCTCTCCCTTATGCTGGTCAAGGGCCCCTGGGGACACACAATCATGTCAATCATGCCAGCCTCACCCCCTTTTTGCCTGGAAGCACGTGGCGCTCAATGAACACATCTACATTATAGGCAGCTTGGGTGGCATGGCTCCTAGGGGATAGCCCTGTTGCCAGATCACCTGATAGCTTTGTTCTATGATTCTAGGCCTGGTCAAGAGTCCTGGCCAGCCCAGGGGTTCCAGTGCATGCTCCTTGACCCTTGGGACCTCCTTGCATGAACCGAGTGCTCTTTGTAATGGAAATCCAAAGAAAGGTTCATGGTTACTCCCATTCCCAGATGCTAGTTCTCAGATGGTTTTCATAGATCTGATTATAATGGGGTAAACTGAGCTTTAGTAAGGATTTGGAAGGTTAAAGAGTACCAGAAAAGGAACTGATAGGAAAGGCCAGTGACCAGTCTTGTTATTTGTAACCAATGCTTATGAAATCACCTAAAGATAACACGCGCCATCTTCATCTTAAATCCCACCACAATGCTCTGATAGAAAGATTTCAGCACCTGCTGGGGTCCTGCATGGAGCTAAAGCTAACTCCTAAGGGAGATATGGGATTTCCCTGGCCTAGATATGGGGAAGAAACAACTAGAAACACTCATCATCTCTTGGTGGCATGTCTGGGTAATGCATACACTATTCCTGGCCCACAGGAATCCAGGTTCCCTCCAGGTCTTTCCCAGTTCTGACACGTAGTGGCTTAGTACTTCTCTTGCTGATATTTGTATATGAGCCTGAATCCTTTCCCTGACATTATCTTTATGTGGCTCCCAATCTGCTTCCAGAACTGGCTGGGGGGGGCCTGGGGAGGTGGGGCGCTTGGAGTGGGGAGCTGTGCTCCAAAGATGAATGTGGCCTCGTCTAGACCTGGGTCTAGCCCCTCTGAGTGCTTAATGGATTAATTAGTTCCTCATCAAACCGAGTGGGGATTAATTAGCTAGTTAATCTGCAGGGGCTCTCGGCCAATCCTGTATTTCAATTTATTTGTTATTTCCCTACCCTAATGGCCGCTTTGCTCACTGATCATCCTCTGGGCATTTCTATGGGACAAGTGGAAACAGCAGACTTCATGGGTTCTAACTCGGTTTGTGCAAACACAGGCCATCTGCTCTGTCTGATGTACCCCCAGATTCAAGATAAAATAACGTGGAAAGACATTATTCCTGGGGACCATGGCACCTTCCCTCTGACACGTACATCTCAGTGCATGTCACTCAAGTTTGGTCCCAAACAGTGGCTGTGGACCTAGAGGTTCAGGCAGCCAGAGGTCAGAGCACCCGCCAGCCAGTGCCTCCGAGGACCCGGCCTTCTCTGCTCCTGCATCTCCTGATCACAGGCCGACCTCAGAGGAGCCCACACTTCTGCCCACTGCACAGGGGTCGCTTCCTTCCTTCCCTGGCCCAGGGGAGGTTGGACATTGGGATCCACTTTGCTTCACACTCAAAGAAAAAATTTGGATCCCCACAAGTTCCACCCAAAAGAAGATCTCAACATGGCCAGCAGCATCAGCATTGCCTGAGGCATTTCTAGAAAAATGCACCATCTCTGGCCCAACCTAGACCTGCTCATTCAGAAACTGGTGGCCTGAGCTTGATCTGGCCCTCCTGTTGGTGCTGGTGTTGCTCACGTCTGACTTAAATATTGCTACTCAATATTTATTGATTGATTGATTGATTGTCTTCCTTCAGGTGCATGGACCTGTTCAGAAGGCCTGGGAAAGACCCCTGGGAAACACAGGTGGGACACTGGAACTCTGAGTAGCTAGGGGAACAAGGGAATAGACTGCAGGTAGACATGTCTTGTGGCTCTGCAGATGCCTCACCTTACATGAGGGATGACCAAGGAAAGGCAGAGAGACTTTGCAATGTGTGAGGCCTGGAGAAGATGGCCTCAGCTGTGCAGATCTCAAGGCAGCATTGGATGTGGTCAAAGACTGTGTTCAGAGTCCCACACTCACCATCACACTAGAAGGCAATGGTACTAGCCCTCCCTGCGGAAGTGTTTTCTCTGGGCTGTTGTTGTGCCTTGCAGAAATTTGACTAAGCATGGGACAAGTAGACCAGGCCAGTGAGTGGCTAGGGGAAAGCAACAAAGTTATAGCATAGAACTTGGGCCTCTGGCTTCCTTAGATCTGGGGTTGAATCAATTGAACTGGCCCTAGAACCAGGTCTGGCCACTCTCCCTAGACTATGATCCTACAAGGTGGCCTACAACAAGAGAAAAAGTTGGGACTTGGAAGTCAGAAGACCTAAGTTCAAATCCCAGATCTGTCGTTCGTGTTCTGCGTGATTGTTCAGCTGGCTGGAGAAGGTATGGCGTGAAATGGCCTCACAAGCTTCCCACCCTGGGCAAAGGGTAACTGTGGTTATTAATGTCTCAGTGGAAAGAGGGCAGCTCTGGACCTGGATCCCTGCTGAAAGAAGGCCTGGACGGTGACTCACACACTAGGAGCCCACGGGCCTTAAGAGTGTGCGTCAGGACAGACAGAGCAAGCGTGATGGGATGGATGGTCTCTGGGTATTCTCATTTCTGCCTTTCCTAGCGAACCACCTGCTGACAAGCCTTTGTCTATGATTTGCCCAATGAATGTCTTGTCCAGATTTCTGCTGACCAGTTGCAAACCTGAAGTGGAGAGAACAGGGATCGCTGGACACAGTTCATCATTTGAGGAAAAGCAATGTCCAGTAGAGCCCCCAGGACAAGAGCAGTTAGAGCCAATAGAAACCAGCATCACAGTGGGGCTGGAAGCAGCTCAGGGCGAGGGCTGAGGGCTGAGCTAGGTTAGCAAGTGAGTGAATGAGCAAGTATGTCATGAGGGGACTGACAGGCAACACTTTGTGCTTATGAATCTCCTCTAGATGTCATTGCATTTCTATAACTCTTACCAACTTAGAACAGTGTTTGATGCATTTAACAGCGAATTATTGTATGCCAACTGAAAGAATCCATCTTAAACTCTTCTTTCTTCACCAGGCTCATTAGTATAGTTATTGCCAGAGTTGACTATTTTAATGTGTAGGTACCAATACTGGGGCTTGAACTCAGGACATGGGCACTGTCTTATAGTTTTTGTACTCAAGGCTGGTACTCTACCACTTGAGCCACAGCTCCACTTCTGACTTTTTCCCGGTTAATTGGAGGCAAGAGTCTCATGAACGTTCCCTCTTGGGCTGACTTGGAACTGTGAACCTCAAGTCCCAGCTTCCTGAATAGCTAAGATTACAGGTGTGTGCCACTGATGAGTGGCCATCCGCTATCTTGATGGTGTCCTTCCCTCTTACTGACCTCTGACTTCCTACGTAAGAGTGAGGAACCACTCTAGATTTCAGACCTGCCATGTCCTGGGTCTTGATGGCTAAACTTCTCTGATCAAGCAAGATGAGGTGAGAAATTATCTTGGGTGATTCTACCTTCAAAAGTGTGCACTACTTGTGCAGGCCAGTCAACAGACCTTTGAGTAAGTACCAGTTCAAACAGTGAGGTTGTATTTGATGCTATGTTGGGTTGTTCACTCACTTTGGGAATGCAGTTTCTCAGACAGCTGTTTGGAGGTTTCTAGCTTTGTGAGCCTTGCTTCCAGCAGCCCCTTGTCCTCTAAAGCCATTTCTCTCTGTGCTAATTCTGAGCCAGGTGCTTCCCAGGATGCTGGGTGCTGGTACTCATGCCTGTACTTGGAAGGCTGAGAGCTGAGGATAACGGTTCAGTCTGTGAGACTATTACCAATTAACCATCAGAAAGCCAGATGTGGAGCTGTGGCTCCAGTAGTAGAGTGCTAGGCTTGAGTGAGCAAGCTCGGGGACACTGTTCCAACCCTACTACCAGCCCAATAAAAATTCCCTAGGTGATTCCAGCGTGTAGTGTGGCCCTGTCTAGGGCTTTCTAGCTGCTTCTGCTTATTCCACTGTGGTTCTTACTCTGAGCTACTTAAAGAGCCATAGCAGCACCAACTAGCACAGATGGTGTGGATTTGTCTTTTGGATCTCTCTGTCTCTGTCTCTCTGTCTCTCTCTCTCTGTCCGTCTGTCTGTCTCTCTCTCTGGTCCTGAGGCTTGAACTCGAGGCCTGTGTACTGTCCCTCAGTTTTACTTAATTCAAGGCTGGCATTCCGCTACCTGAGCCACACTTCCACTTCCAGCCTTTTGCTGATTAGTTGGAGATAAGAGTCTCACAGCCTTTCCTGCCTGGGCTGGCTCTGAACTAGGATCTTCAGATCTTCATCTTCTGCGTAGCTAGGATTACAGGCGTCACCCCCAGAGCCTGGCTGGAGCTCAGTTTTTAACGATGATTGAACGCCTGTACCTCTTGGGCTCTACATGAGTCAAGAATTTCTAGATACTAGCACAGACCACCTTATA